TGGAATTTTGATAGGTATTGCGTTGAATTTGTAGATAGCCTTGGGAAGTATTGCCATTTTCACGATGTTAATCTTTCCAATCCAGGAGCATGGGAGGTTTTGCCATTTTTTTAGTTCTGTGTTGATATCCTTTTTTAAGATTAAAAAAAAACATTTTTTTAAGTGCAGAAAATCTACGTAAGAGTCAAAGGTCTTCAACGAGGTTTTAGATCTGAGCAGCACTGCCTAATGCAGACCCTGCGGATTGCTCAGTCTAGGCATTTCTACAAAAAAGGTCATTTGCTGTTTTCTTTACATGAAAAATGAAGATCACAATTATAACACTGATTGAACAGATATGACAATGTGGAATTCATGGATTGCTCTGAAGGGGAAACGGAACATAGGAGGAGTTAAAATGATATCACGCAAGAAGAGATTAAACTTGACTAAGTGATTTATTAGACAAGTCTAACAAGTGATATCATTATTGGCTCCAGGGAATAGGATTGGATTGGTTTATAAGATTACTTGAACTTTGAGCAATTAAGTTGTGTTGGTGTGTTGTCCACTGTAGAGGCTCATTGCATCTTTTAGGCTTCCAAACTGTGGAATGTGGTATTTATCAAACTGTGGAATGTGGTATTTATTAGGCCTGCAACTCTATCACATAGTAATTGAAACTATTAAATGCTTGTGGTTAGAGGAGTGAAAGTAAAATAAAATAAATGTGACAAAACATTAACATTTTCTTAAATAAGAAGTTATAGAGTTAGTAATAAAGTCAGAAAACATAGACCATATATTCCTGGATTCAAACAAAATGTAGCAGACTAGCCTCAGGATGCTCTAATCTCAGCCTCTTGAGTAACTAGGATAACAGACATGCAACACCACACCCAGCTAAAGAAAGCATTAGTAACAGATTACCCTCATGCTCAGTGGCACGTGGCATCAATTTCATCTCAGAGAGAATAACAGTTCATGCTGCAGTTTTATGGACAAGCATTCTCTCCCCTACAAAGTTGGTTCTCTCCCCCCTCTCTCAAGGCTAGCACATTACCACTTGAGCCACAGTTCCACTTCCACTTTTTGATGTAGTTAATCGGAGATAAGACTCTCACAGACATTTCTGCCTGGGCTGGCTTTGAACTGCAATCCCCAGATCTCAGCCTCCTGAGTAGCTAGGATCACACAAGAAAGTCACCAGTGCCTGGCTGTCTGTGTCCTTTCAACTCGTCTCTCTCTCTCTTTTTCATTATACGCTAATCATGTGATCTCTCCATTCATGCTTATAATGCACTTTTATCAAATTCACCCCTTCTCATCATCGTCTTTATTTTCCCGCCTTTTAAAGAATTTAAAATTTCATTACGCTATTTTCATGCATACTTATGAAGTACTTCAATACTGTCCACACCCTCTTTTATCCTCTTCTTTTGCCTTTCCCCATCTTACTATAACCCCTCCAAAGAGTCCTCTGTTTTAGACTCCTGCTATGTGATTGTTTTGGGTTGTTGTTTATTTACTTCTGCCGAAGGGTGCACCATCAGCCAAACATCTGTCAAGCAAGCCCATAGAGCTGCAGGCTGTTCTCTTTTTATCCCGAACACAGTAGCTCCTGCCCCTCTGCTCTGATTGGTTGAGCTCAGGTTCACAATCTGCTGGTGACTGGCTAGCCTGAGTAGGGTAGAATGTATTTACATAAGGTAACTTATGTACATAAGAAATAAGATGAACAGTTCACAAGTATGGATATAGTCAGAATATAGGGACTGGGAAGGTGGTTCAGTGGTAGAGCGCTTACCTTGCATGCATGAGGTCCTGGGTTTGATTCCTCAGTACCACATAAGCAAAAAGAAAAAAGCCGGAAGTGGCACTGTGGCTCAAATGGTAGAGCACTAGCCTTGAGCTGAAGAGCTGAGGGACAGCGCCCA